CCAGAAATCAGGATTTTAAAAAAGATTCCCAGGTGATTCTAATGTGCAGCCAAGGTTGAGAACCACTGGTCTAGAGCAAAACAGCAAAGATTAACGAACACGGCTGCGTGGGCCATTTGGCACGTCTCCAAAGCCTTAACAACGGCACAGTCCCTGGACAGCAGACACGTCCAGTGACTGACCCTAGGAAAATAATGGTGTGTGTGTGAGGACGGGCACTACCTACAGCAGCACCTCGGACAAAACGAGGAGACAACATAAATGCTGGGCAGGAGATGGGCTAATGAGTCATGATAGATCCATAGGACAGAAAACCACAGTCGTTTTTATTTATTTATTTTTAAACATATTTTATTGATTTTTTACGGAGAGGAAGGGAGATAGTTAGAAACATCAATCAGCTGCCTCCTGCACACCCCCCACCGGGAATGTGCCCACAACCAAGGTACATGCCCTTGACCGGAATCGAACCTGGGACCCTTCAGTCCGCAGGCCGACGCTCTATCCACTGAGCCAAACCAGTGAGGGAACACAGTCATTTTTAGAGGAGCACAAATGACATGGGCAAAGGTCTCCGGTGCATTCGCAAATTGCACTCTGTGCAGCATGATCCTGCCTCTCTTTTTAAACAAAGGGAAACACACACACACGCCCTGGCCAGTGTGGCTCCGTCGGTTGAGCATCATCCCATGCACCAGAAGGTCGCCAGTTCGATTCCCAGTCAGGGCACATGCCTGGGTTGTGGACTCGATCCCCAATAGGGGGCATGCAGGAGGCAGCCGATCAATGTTTCTCTTTCACATCGATGTTTCTCTCTATCCCTCTCCCTTCGTCTCTAAAACGCAATAAAAACGTATTTCTAAATAAAAAAGAAAAGAAAAGCAACAGACACATACATAGAAAAGAGACCTGGTCACCAGGTTAGTGGGCAGGGCAATTAGATGATTTGTATCTTAATCTGTGTGCTTTTCTGCAGTTTTCAAATCTTCAGCAAGGAATGTGTACTATTCAGGGGAAAAAGCATAAAAGAATGGGTTTTGGTAAAGAACTAAAAACAAAAGCCTAGCAACAAATTTGTGACGGGTCCTGCCCAGGAGGAAAGGCAGGTACCTAGATATAGAAAGCAGCCTGGCATCACAGCTCCCCCCGCCGCCACCCCCCACACACACACACGTCATCTGCCCTGAATGCAAGACCAGATGGGAATCTGTGGGGGCCAGGCCTGGGCCAGAGAAAGAAGGAAACATGAAGCCAAGCCGGGAGGGACAAATGACTGGACCAGCACATTTTAGTTCTACAAACACACACCCACACTGCAAAGGGAATGGAGACAGTCACTGCTGTTGTGAGCAGTCGGCATCTATTTCCACGGACTCCCATACGTGCCATTTCTATTCCTCTTCATTCCTTCCTGCCTGTCATCTTCCATCTGGGGTCATGTCCTTCTGCATGGACAATGCCCTTTAGAATTCCTTACAGTGGATCTTCTATTGCTGAAATCTCTCCATTTCCATTTATCTGAAAATGTCATCATTTTGCCATCATTCTTAATGGACTTTTGGTTGGGTATGGAATTCAAGGTTGGCAGACACTTCCTGTCAGCAAATTAAAGATCTGAACATGACTGTCTTCCATTTCTCATTCTTGTTCCTAAGAAGTCAGTCGTTGCTCCTTTGAGTGTAATGGTTTGGTTTGGTTTTTCCTCTCCGGCTGCTTATGGTTTTCTGTGTCTTTCCTCTGTAGTTCCACGTCAGGGTGTGTGAGGAGAGACGGACCAGCTTGTCTGGAAGTTCTAGAATGCAGGTTCTCCTGGGGAGACAACGGGGATGAGGCTTTTACTTCCAGGTGGTTACCTTGGTTGGTATACTTAGAAGCTATAAATGTTCTCTTCACCAGCAAATCCATTCCCCACGCCTGAAACCTGCCATTGCGGCATGATAGGCCCAGTAATTCCTATTCCCTTCCAGTTCCCCTATAAGTTCAGAGAGCGGGCAGCTTAAATCCCCTAGTTGCCGAAACCGGTTTGGCTCAGTGGATAGAGCATCGGCCTGCGGACTGAAAGGTCCCAGGTTCGATTCCGGTCAAAGGCATGTACCTGGGTTGCGGGCACATCCCCAGTAGGAGATGTGCAGGAGGCAGCTGATCGATGTTTCTCTTTCATCGATGTTTCTAACTCTCTATCTCTCTCCCTTCCTCTCTGTAAAAAATCAATAAAATATATTTTTTAAAAAAAACCCCTAGTCAGGGAGAGAGATAACAGACTAAATTAGTGCCATTAGTTCCAGCCAAACCCAAGAGCGATGGAGTCCAGGAATAACAAAGAACAAAAACAAACAAACAAAAAAAACCCTATTAGAGCCAGAAAAATCCAAGATAGAGGTGAAGCTGACCAGAGAATATCCCAAACCCCACTGGACACTCATTTTGATGCATCACATTGAAAGACACACCTGAAAGGCTGATGAATAGTCTGATTGAGACGCCCCTAACATTCCCACCTACAGAAAACAGATAAAGTCCCTCAAAGGACCCAAGTGCATTCGTGTTTTCTCCCTTTACTTTTATCGATCTGTTGGTTTTTTTGTGTGTTTTTTTTTTTTTTTTAGCATATTAGGTTTTTATTATATACGATGAAGTTCAACACTTCTATGCTCAAGGTTACTAAGGCACTTGCTGGTTCTTTCATTTTTTTTTAAATTAATATTTTAATAATTTTTATTTCTTAAAGTATTACAAAGAGTATTACATATGTCTCCTTTTTTCCCCCCCTTGACATTCCCCCGGCCCCTACCCCCCGCCCCCCCGCCCCTGTTGGTTTTTTAAGAACTTATTTGTGTCAGTTTCTGTTCAGTAGCCATTAACTTTTGTCCTTTAATTTCTTCCTCTGTTTTTCTCGGTTTTTTCTATCCTTTGAGTTAGAGGTTCAATTCTTTTATGGCCAGGTGCTTACTTTGGTTGGTATGATTAGAAGCTATAAATGTTCTCGAGCACTATTCTAGTTGTGTCCCATACACCCAGACTTACAGGAATGCTGGTCATTTTCTAGAAGTTCTATAATTTTGGATTATCTCTCTTCTTAGATCCAGGAGAATTTTAGTAGAGGCTATCAAATTCCAGGTGCCAGAGCTTCTGTGCTTTCCGAGTCTGTTATTCAGTCACAGGTTTACCACATTTGGAATCAGATACTCTTGACTATATCTCTTTTCAAATTTTTTATTAGGATTTCCTTTATTATATAATATATGGTCACTTTTCATGCATGTTCTATGGGCATTTGAAGATACATTCTCCATTATCAATGAAGAATGTGTTATCTACATGTCATATCAATATATAGTATATGTATCTATCTATACATATGTATCTACACACTCACATTCACAAGATGCACCTCACCATGCTCTAGGTCTGCTCTATCTGGGACCGAGAGGTGGCTTAAGCTGCTCCGCTCTGCTTTAGGAAGCTACGGCTGTTACTGTGAACAGTTATTTCTTTTTTTTTTTTTAATATATTTTATTGATTTTTCACAGAGAGGAAGGGAGAGGGATAGAGAGCTAGAAACATCGATGAGAGAGAAACATCGATCAGCTGCCTCCTGCACACCCCCCACTGGGGATGTGCCCACAACCAGGGTACATGCCCTTGACAGGAATCGAACCTGGGACCCTTCAGTCCGCAGGCCGACGCTCTGCCCACTGAGCCAAACCGGTCAGGGCTGAACAGTTATTTCTGACCAATTTATCTTGTTTGAGAACTGCATCCTCAGCATTACGACGTGCCCTTCTGCTTGGCTCACTACTTTCGGGCTGGATTCTACCTTGTCTGAGACTCAGACGTGACGGCTGCAGCACTGACGCTAGCATTTCCCTGGGATGCATGTGCAATGGTTACACCTGAACTTTTCTCACTCGCTTTTGGATGTCTCAGAGACAGCCCAGTTGGGTTTTTCCTTGTGACCCAATCTGCAATCTTCCCCTTTAATTGGTGAGTCAAGACCATTTACATAAAACTGACCAGTCTTATTAAGGAACAGTTTTGCATGGTTTACTTTCCACTGCCTGACCTGGCACGCTTCTAACGCCATCAGAATCACCTGGGTCGTGGCTAGCCAGGGTGCCCACGCGAGGATGCTCCGCACGCGGCACCCAGTTCAGCCATGTGGCCACTGTGGTGATGGGCGCCAGGCGTGGCCGCATGGCCTCGTGCTCTGTTCCAGGCCCAACCAGTGCTGGCCAGGATGACCAGCTTCGCTTCGCCTTGTAGCCTCACCTTCAGAGTCTGCTTGTACCCCAGCACGGACTCCCACCTTCCATGAGAGGTTGGAGCCTAGAGTGCATCGGCTCCAACCCGTCTTCTTTTCCGTCTTCTCTGCAGTCACCGTCTTCCTGCCTCAGGTGTGGGACAGCCCCCAACCAAGAGCAGCTGCCAAGATGGCCGGGGAGCAAGAAAGTGATCAATTATTTGATGTTATGACTACGTATGCACACCTCCCCCACTGTGACTGATTTCTTCCCGGGATGCATTTGGACAGTGTCTGTCCCCGAGGGGAGACCTGTACCAGGAGTGGGAGCTGGAGCCGTGTGTGCTAGAGCAGCTGCACCCAGGACGCCTGGCGGGATGGGGTGTTCTGGAGCTGTCGTTGCCCCTGCCCTTAACATCTTTCAAGGTGATGTGTAACGACAGAGAAGACCTGAGTCACATCCTGAATGCCATCACACTGCATGACGCCCCTCCCGCCAACGAAACAGAAGACTGTGTGCCCCAGCCCCCCTCCTGAAAGTGCCCTAGGCCCCCCCACCCCCGCACAGCTTGCTGCTCCACAGGCCAGGCCCATCCCTCACGCAGTAAGAGCGCAGCCAAGTCTGAGGGGTCTGTGCAGAGCTCCGCGTGGGAACCGTCCTCCCTAATCCCAGGGGATGAGCTCCTTCTCTCTTGAATCAGCCCGAGCCCTGGCCTCGCCTGCGCCCCGTCTTTCACCTTCGGCTCAGTTACCTGACCCCCATTCTTGGAGGCAATGCGGTCACAATCACAGGCCACTGTCACAGAAACCCTTTAACATAACCCAGGGTTGGTGAGTCGCCCCTGACGGCCAAGCCCTGACCTCAGGGTCCCTGAAGCAGCCTCTGTCACAGGAGGGGCCGGAGCCTCTGGCAAGCAGCACAGACCCGCACACGCAGGGAGAGGCACACCTCAGGAAGGCAGACCCTCGTGACATCGTGTAGCAGACGGGCGACTCTAACGCTGCCGTGCCCTGGACCAGGAAGGCCCGACCGGCCGCTCCCTGCGAGCACTGGAGGAGAGGACACTCCAGGCTGATGCCCAGGCCCCCTCTCCTCCGTCTCCATGGGCACATGAAGCTTGAGCCCTGCCACAAGGGGCTTTGGGACGTCACAGCCATCCTTGAGGGACCTCTTCTTCAAGCCAGCTTTAGTGAAAAGACAATTCAGCTATTAATGTGGAAAAACCTGCAGACTCACGGGACGTTTTAAGATGTGTCAGACCTGTTTATTGCAATTCACAGAGAGGACGAGCACTGAGCCGGCTCCTGGGCGTGCGGTTGGCTCTGCGCGGGCAGCACAGTCCCGCGGGCAGCTCCTCCTCGCGGCTCCGGGGTTAGCTCATGCAGCCCTGCAACACACGGCCATCAGTCCCTTTCTGATGCGAGCTGGCTTAACTCCCCCCGAGGGAAGGGACAGTGGGCAAGCCTTGGGACTCGAACTGGAAGGCAGGCAAAACGCTCACACGTCTCTTTATTTCGTGACGTGCAGTGTTCTCGGTGCACACAGCCCGCTGGGTGGCTCTCCGCGCTCCCTGTCGCACAAGCGCTCCCATCACCCACCCCTGCGCGCTCTGGGGAACCAGCAGGCGCGGCTTCACCCTGCACAGCACCCCCTCAGCTGCGGATCCCCCTGGGGCATAGTGAGGTTTTCACAGGGCCGGCCACAGAGTCAGGCTCTAGGAGAGCGCCCGGAGGAGCTGGGCCTCACAGTTCTCAGAGGGAGCGCGGTCATGGTCAACGCACTCCGAGACTTGCTCCCCCTACAGCGTGTTTTCATCGAGTGTTAGTGGACAGCTCTGAGTGAAGCCCATGAGAGTGGACAGGGGACAAGCAGGATCACCCACTAGTCCGAGGAGAGAACTTCACTTGGAAAAAATGCTCACTTTATGCTGCGACAGAAAACCTCTGCAAACCACTCCCATGTTCAAGAGAAGCAGCTGCCCCGTGAAAGCGGGCGAATGGGAACCGTAACGTAGAGATGGGAGTGACAGGTGCCATTTGAGGTTTGCTCTGTGACACTCATGGCCGAGCCCAGCGGACAGTGCCGCCACGGGCAGAGGGCGCCTGCGTCCGGCCGTCCTCCCTTTGGGTCAGAGCAGAGTCCACACGCACAGCAGAGAGCGTGAGGAGCTTCCTGGCTGGGTTCAAATAGCACCACAGCGGGCTCCTCACCTGTGCGCATGCCTGACGGAGGAGGCATTGGAAACGAAAAGCTAGTTTGAACTCGGGGAAGTATTTTCTTAACACATCACATTACAAAGCCCCAACCACAGGGACAAGGCCGGGCCCTCACCCATCTGCTGAGGAGTCTGTGGAAGAAGCCTCTCTTTCGCTTGGGGGCCGGCTTTGGTTGGCAGGTTTTGTCTTCCTGACGCAAGTCCTGAGTTTCCTCATTTTCACTTTCGTTGATGTCCTTGAAACATTCCGACTCGATCATCTGCACCCGCAGGAGGGCAGAACAGAGCAGCTGGCAGGCCCCCAGGTCAGCCAGCCCCGGGGCCCCTCTCCGGCCCTGCCCTCCATTTCTGCTGGCCCTGCCTCCTGGCCTCTTCTTGGGTCCCTTGGCCTCCCTCCCCCCTGGTGCCAGCCAGCCAGCCCTGCTTAGGAAGTGGGACTGAGGGCCGGAAGCCCCCATCAGACCCAAATGGCCACCTTCTGCCCGCCACCTGTGAAGGGACCAGGGACAGCTGCCGTGGATAATTCTACCTCTCAACACCCTCACACAGGTGTGTGTATGTCACAGCTAAGAAGATACTGTCACACACACGTACACACACGTCCTTGTCATTTTCATCCGTCACCCGCACTTGGGCAGCGGTCATGCTGACAAGCAGTACCTCATTCTGCCAGGGGATGGAGACAGAGCCCGTGACAAACTGGCTGTAGAAGGTGGTGTCGGTGGCGTCCAGGTAGATGCCTCTCACCATGGAGAACTGCTCGATGTCCATGATGTCCTTACAATACACCGCATTCCGCTGTGCATGGAGAACAAGGAGGCGCCGGCTGTGAGGTCACTGGGCCACTGGGTGTCCTTAGCCACTACGGACACCGCACATGGGGTCGAGGCCTGCACACTCCTCGGGCCTGGTTCTGCCGAGCCTCTCATTTGAAGCATTCTGACCCCTTCCCTGGACACTGTGTCATTAACCTGTGGACACTGCCCGGCCAGGTCTCTTGCCCACACACCTGAGACCCCGCGCCTCCCTTTTCTGCAGTGGGCAGTGGGTTACAGGCAGGCCAGGGTGAGAGGGTGGTTGGGAGCTCTCGTGGGGACATGGCCCTGATCCTCACGCCCACCTCACACTCAGCTTGCTTCACAGCGAGCACCCGCCTAGTCTACGTGAGTAACGGCAGGCCCCGGTCCCGGCTCCCGGGTCCCGGCTCCCTGGGCCCGTCAGAGCTCATCTCAGGTCCCCAGCCGAGGGAGGCTGGTCTGCAGACCCTCCTCAGGGCCAGGGGCCAGACTGCTGTCCTCAGGAGCCAGCGGTCAGGAGCAGGCAGGGCATGTCAGTGCGGCCGCCTGCTTGGCTGGGAGTGAGGAAGAGAGCGCAGCAGCGGCCTGGCCCAGCTAAGGCAAGGGGCGCCCTGCAGCTCCGAGCACGCACACCACAGAGTGAGGACCAAGGGGTCCTGTTCCCGATGCCATGTAGGAACTTCTCTGAAAGCCTCTGCCACCACAAGGGGAGACAGTCCAGGGGGAGGCTGGTGGAACCGGGCCCCAGCCCCAGGCCCAGAACCTGTACTGATCCCCACTCAAGTGCAAGTGCCTGACACATGACCATCAGACTCTGCTGTCACCTGGCCCCCGCAGGTCCTCTGGCTAAAGTCAAGGGAACTCCCAGAACCGCCCAGACCTCTGGCCTACGTGTCTTTAGCACCGCACCCCGGTCATCTCTCCCTCCTCAGAGAAGACTGTTGGCCGGCCTTCCCTGCACAGGCCCCAGGCGGCCCCAGGCCTGGTGGAAAGAAGGCTCTAGGGCCCAGCAGACCATTGGAAGTCTCTGCCTGGGGTTCTGCTCCTGCTGTAACTGACTCACCGCTGATCTGCGCAGCCTGGAGCGAGCTCCCTCAGGGGAGCCGGCTGTTGTTCTCCCTGTGCCGACACTACAGCGTGTCATCAACATGCAATTGGAACCAGTTCCAGGGAAGAAGCCACTCGTGTAAGATATATGGATATAACTCTGCGGCTAGACATCTCACGGCCATCACACCCTGCAGGACCGCCTCACACCTGGCCACAGACCGTTGTCCAATCCATCTACGCCTGTGTTCCCATCGGCACTGACACGTGCCCGAGCCTGGGTCAGTGTCCCCCCCACACACACTGAGGCGACCACTCCAGGCCCTCAATGTGCAGCCAGGACCTCTGAGACACACGCTGGCCGGCACTGACATCAGAAGGGGACACTGCGGGGGAGGTCTGAGGACAGCAGTGGCCGGGCTCAGCTCCGATGGCCCACGGTGGACACCAGGCCCCAAGCCCGAAGCCAGAGCGCTGCTGAGAAGGCCTGTGAGGACAGGCCTAGGACTATGGGGGTGGGGAGGGAGGAGGAACCAGATCCTAGGGGACCTGAGCGGAAGTCACACCCACGGGCTGCACCAGGTGACCTGGAGCTACTGGGGTGAGGCCTGCCTTTTCTGGGACCCCAACTACTGGGCCACACGGTACTCACGTCAGGGCAGAACGGGGGCTCTACCATGTGTACTTCCAGCCTCTTGAAGTTAATGTTCTTGAACAGGGGGTGCTTTCGCACACCAGCTGCTCCGTCACCCTGGCAGCCCAGGCGCTGCTTGGGGTCCTTGGTGAGTAACTGGAAGAAGCAGAAATGGAGTCAAAAGCTCCGGGGTCAAAAGAAACGCAGAACAGCTCCACAACAGTCCCCAAGGAATGGGGCAAAGAGCACCCGCTTCGAAACAGAGGCCTCAGATTTCAGTGTCCACCCAACTTCATTAATTCAGACTTGACTAATTAAACATGCGGTGCTTCAAACGGAGTTAAACTGAAGTTTTCCTTTGAGCTGTCGATAAATAAAGAGTTGGCTAATAAATCCCTAATAAAATAAATTTTTACCATGAAAAATGAGGGAAATCTCTAAAAGAAATAGAAACCGTTCAGCACTTCTGAGTAACTACTTACAGCTAAGTCACACCTACACTTTGAAACCACTCACACCTGATCTGCTCACTAAGGAGGTCGCTGGGTCTCAGCTAACACTTTAGCAAGCCTTGTTCTAGAAGTCACAGACGCTTACAATTAACGGAGTGTCTCCTCCAAGGTGTTCTTACTTACATATCTGTAACTGTCACAGCTCAGGAAGACCTTCCTCCACAGTTACAACCAACCAAAAAGGTTTGGCTGGGCTCCAAGCAACACAGGAAAGACCTGGAGCTTGAAAATACACCCGGGCCGGCCGGGAGCGCAGCCCGCCCCACCCCCGGCTGCCTGAGCTGCCCGAGGGCACGGTTGCGAGAGCACAGGGCCCGGGTCAGCGGTCAGCGGCTCTGCTGCTCTTGCACTGGCAGCGGGATGACGAGTCCTGACAGACACCCGAGCCCCGAGGGCCTAAGCAACACTGGTCCTCTGGCCCCTCCAGAAAGGCCTGCGACCCCTGCCAGACTCACAGCCAGCACCTACCGCTTCTCTGAAAATAAACCCAGTTTCCAGGCAGAGGCCAGAGAGCATTCTGGCTGGAGCTTACCTGCTATTTATTTATTTATTTATTTATTTATTTATTTAAACCTGCCTTTCACTATAGTCATTTTTCCATGTTTCAGCCGCCGGGAGCCTGTGAGGCCTCGGGGCAGGCTCCATTTCCAACCATCCGAGTGCAGCACTCAGGCAGTATTTGTGAGCTGCACGGAACAGCAGCTTGGCCAGCTCCTGACTAAACTGTCAGCTCCAAGCAAACGAGCTGGAAGAAAGGCCCTGAGCCCAGTGCCCGTGACAGGCAGGAGCACAGCCGCCGCCCATGGAAACGAACGGAGAAGGAAGCTGACATGGCTACTGCCGGCACCACCCACTCCCCTGAGTTACTGACACTTCAGTGACAGCGCCTGCTGGAGATTCCAACACCCCCAGGAACCTGCCCCCCTGCCCCCCCAGCCACTCCCCCTGGGTCACATCCCGACTCTACATGATCAGCAAGCCCTCCTCTGCTGCCCCGCAAGCAGCCTCCCCGTGTGTGCCCGTCTTTCTAACCTAATTGGCCAGGAGGCACCGTGACTCCACAGGCTGTGGCTCCTGTGACGGGCGCCTGACCCATAACGGGGCCTCAACCTCTCCCTTCATTTCAACCCACACGGCCCTCTGATGCTGCAGGATGGCCTCCCCTCCCTTCATCTCCTCTCCTCTGCACACCGGGCCTCCTCAGCTCCCTCCCACCCCCGAGCGGCCGATGACCTCGGAGACCAGAGGCACAGAGCGTGCACGAGCTCCCAGTGCGCATCCACGGCCCGGCACCACATCTCCGGCGCCATCTCTCCCGCGCTCCGCCTCTCCTGCCCGCTCCACCGGGTGCAGCCAGGTCTGAGCTGCTCCCCCCGCCCCAGTCCCCGAACTTCTGCCAAGGCTGGCTGGCCCCTCCGTCCTCCTCGCAGCCTCTCCCCGGCACGTCCCTCCCCTGGAGCCCTGTGACGCTTCCCCGTCAGTGGACACCTGTGCCTCCCCGTGTGAGTGACAGTCCACACCCCTCCGGCCCATCCCCCCTCCTGCAGCAGGATGAGCCCTGGGGACGGGTCCTTGTCTGCTTCCCTCACTCAGGATCCCCAGTGCCTAGGACAGTCCCACGGGAGATGCAACTGGGAAGGAGTGAAGAAATGGACGCAGAACATGTGAGCACTGGCTTCAGGGAGGACGGAGCGCCTTTCACCCCTCCGTGTGGGCCGGGCAGCAGGGACACTGAGTGAGCGGAAGGGGACCATCACGCCATTCCTCCCGGGCGGCATCCGGAAGGTTCCCTCCCGCCTGACTGGGGAGGAAGCCCCTGGCATTCGCCTCAGGAACACGAAGGCCCTCGGAGGCCTCCTGAGCCAGGGCCTTGCTCACTGGACACGGACGACAACGCGGGGCTGCCATGGCCGCGGGAGGGAGAAGCTCACGCCCGAGCCCGAGCCGACCCACCATCCTGCAGATGGACTCCGCGTCCTCCGAGAACCGCGGGGAGTACTCCTCCGTGTCCTCCTTCACGCGCCGCTCCACCTCCTCCCGCTTGACTTTCTCTTTGAATCTTCTGAATGGAGAATGTCCCTGAATCATCTCATAGAGCAGACAGCCAAGCCCCCACCAGTCAGGGCCATAGGTATAGGCTTCATTATTGATAACTTCAGGAGCTAGGTAACAAACACAGGAAATGCTAATTAAATTTTAAATTTTCTGGTAACTCATTCCAAATAACACACTATAAATGTAACATTTGTCTCAACATGCATGAACCTAGAAACATGTTAAGCGAAAGAACCAGAGCAAAAGGCTGACTAGCGTGTGACTATTTCTATGAAGCAGGCAGACTGCCCAGGGCCCGGGGACGGAAAGTAGCTGCGTGGCTGCAGGCCGGGCTGGGAGGGGACGGAGCTGCTGTGCATGGGCACGGGCGTTCTTGTTCTGGAATGAGACCGTGGTGGTGGGGGCACAGCGCTGTGACGGCTGAGACCATGGGTGTACACGTCGGGTCGGCGGGCTTCATGTGCGTGAAGTATGTTTCAGTCCAGCTGTCACTGGAAACTGTACATCACAGAGCGGGCAAAGAGTCCCCACAGAGGAACTACCGGGAAGGGTGCTCCCTCCAACACAGCCACAGCCACGGGGGTCCCTTGGCCGAGGGGGGCTCCCTTGGGCCAGCACTGTGAGGGAGAGGCGCTGTGCCCGACCTCCGCCTCCCCACCCCCTGCCCGCCCCCACTCCCAGCCCTGGTGCTGAGAATACAGCTCTTCTCAGTGTCTGAACAATCTCCAAAATGGAAATGTATATTTTTGCTAGGAGCCCCAGTTTCCTGTGTTTTTAATATAAATAGTGTACACAGACTGATGGAACTTTAAATAAATGGGAATTAAGTATTTAAGAGTTGAAAAAAAAAGGGGGGGGACCATCATGCCATTCCTCCCGGGCGGCATCCGGAAGGTTCCCTCCTGTCTGACTCGGGAGGAAGCCCCTGGCATTCGCCTCAGGAACACGAAGGCCCTCGGCGGCCTCCTGAGCCAGGGCCTTGCTCACTGGACTATCCCTCATCTCATCAGGTCCCCGCGGCAGGTGACAGCAGAGCAGCTGGCTGTGGGAGTCGCTGCAGGCTCTGCAGGGGCCCTCGGCGGCCCCTCGGCATGTGAGAGGCCGCCCTGGGGTCAGGCTGGCGCCCGGCTGGAGCTGTGAGGTCACTGCTCTGGAGCTGACTCCGGAATGGCCAGGGGACACAGTTCCACCAGGGTCTGCGAGGCCGCGTGCACCCGGCGTGGCAGCGGCGCAGTGCGATGGGCTGCCTGGTCCCGACCCTGCCTTCACGGGGCCCAAGACGTCTCTGGGCCTCAGTCCCACCTAGGAGAGGAGTGGACAGGAGGACTCCTCACACTCCCACGCCGCCGGCACAACTTCAAACGCCACCTGTGCCTCAGGTAGAATGTCTCTGAGTCCTGAGAACCCGGGCACCTAGACAGAAAGGGCAAGGCTCGCTGAAGGGGTCCTCTACGTACCCATGTAGCCGACTGTTCCAACTCTTCCTCGAATTGTCTCCCCTTCTGGGACCTCCATGGCTAAACCAAGATCTGAAATCCGGATATGTCCTGCGTGTGTTCAAATACATGACACAAATCACAGGGGGGCGTGCTGACGCTTCAACTCCCTACAGCCTGGGGAGAGCCACCTACAACGCATGGCGGGAGTTGCAGCGGCCCATACTCTCAAAGACTGAGGTCTAAGTGACAGTGACCTTTCCACATCTGCTGAAGTACCACCCAGAGCGTTCAGCTCCACTCACAGCAGGACATTCGGCTTCTGCCTGGCTCGGGGTCGGGAAGCCCTTTGACCATCGACACCAGCTGACGAGCTCTCCCAGGCACTGAATCGTTCCCGACCAGCCTACACAGCGCTCGGGACAGGAACAGGGACCTGGGACTGAGGCTGCACCGCATCACAAATCCCATCATGCCCTGGGCGCGAGCCCACCCAGGAAGCAGGAGGGTGCAGGGGTTAGAGCAGATTCTGGAGCCCCGAGGCCTGGGTTTGAGTCCCAGCTCTGCCACATATTAGCGCATCTGGGTTTCCTCCTTCACAGAGGAGATTCCCTCAGCAATGCAGCTTTATATAGTTTATGTCTAAGTAGAGTACACGCATGTTGCAAAATTTCAAGTTCCCCGTCTCATTTTACTTTTAAAAAGAGAAGTGAACAGTAAACCTACTGGAAAAACTGCAAGTTTGAGATATGGTCTGTGGGCGGTGTGTGGGGACACAGGCACACCCACCCTCGCTGGTGCAGATACAAACAGCACAACAGCCTTGCCCGTGGGGCTGTTGGCTGAGCCTTGTCCCATGCAATAAGGGGTCCTGGGTCGATTCCCAGTCAGGGCATATGCCGGGTTGAGGGCTCCATCCCCAGCAGGGGGTGTGTAGGAAGCAGGTGGCTGATGCTTTTCTCTCTCTCTCTCTCTCTCTCTCTCTCTCTCTCTCTCTCCTTCTCCCTGCCTCTATTTAAAAACAAACAAACAAAACAACCAGCACAACCCCCGACGGAGGGATTTGGCAGAACTGCACGTGACCTGGCCTTCAGCCTAGCACCCCACTCCTATGGCTCTACCCCAGGGCTGCACTGGAACCACAGGCAGTGCCATGTGCCCAGGCTGCACGCTGTGCACAGTGAGACAGCAGAGACTGGGGCAGCCAGGCCCTCCCGGTGACAAGGGGCCGGGAGATCTCCTGCGTGTGGGCGAGTGATCTCTGCTACATATTAAAAAAGCAAAGTGAGGAAAACAGCGTAAGGATGTCAGTCATCAGGCCCTAATGTTCTCAGCATCAGAGAAAAATGCGAAGGGAAGAAGAGGGGAATGTCAATATGAACCCGTGATGAACGTTTTCTTTAAAAAAAAGAGAAAAGTCACATTTCCTCTGCCAACTCCGAAGGCCTCGGAAGAACGACCCGCACAGCAACGGGACCGCGGCGCCCACGTGGGTCTCGCGAGGCCGCTCTCCACACAGAGGACGGGCCCTGGGGAGACGGTGGACTCAGGTCTCAGCACCCACACAGGGGACCCTGGAACAGAATCACGGAGAAAACAAAGGGCGATGTTCAAATCTACGGGCACCTGCTGGCCGAGCGGGAAAGCTGACCAAAGCGAACAGTGACTCCGATGGGCTGAAACCTAGCAAAGTGTTACCACCCGCCAGTTCCTAACGACAGCAAACAGAGAGCGCACACCTCCTGGTCGTAGAGGCCAAGTTCTTTCTCGTAGATGAATCCAACAAGTGCGTGCCCAGGAGCGGCAGAATCAGAAGGCCGTCGCCGAGTCCCAGGTACGATAGGGAGACACTGACCGTTAAGCCGTCAGCGGAAAGCTGCTGACCAAGACCCAGCCCCAAGGGCCGCTCCTGACACGATCACAGGCTCCCCTGCCGTGGAAGAGCCCACGTGGCCATGTGCACGGCTGCCCTGTGACACATGCCCCGTAAAGAGCGCGCCCATGGCTAGGAGGGCGTGGAGACCCACGTCTCAGGAATACAGCAAGATGTGGGTCAAGAGCAAGACAGGAGGGAGCAGAATGTCCTCACTGTGAGTTTACCTCGGCCTGCTGCTCCCTAAGCCCAGGGGTGACAAGGCCACCCATGCACCTGCAGAGGCGTCCCAGGCTCGCTCTGCTATGTCTGCCTTATGTCTGAGTGGAGGGCACGCAGGGTTCTGCACTGACTCTCTGCCCCAAGTCCCTCTCAACGAAGTCTGTGCTCCAGAGGGAGGCTCACTCACCACGGTCGTCGAGGAGAATGTTCTCAGGCTTTAAGTCTCTGCAAAGGAAGAAGTGACAACGAAGAGCAGTTATTTGGAAGCTGACAACGGCAAGATGCCCCGTGAGAGTGAGCGCACGCCGCCCGCCTGCGGGAAAGCACGAGGCAAGCAGTGACTAGGAAATCGAAGGAGCGGGCAAATACCCAGGAGGGACTTGCGGCCAACGGGCAGGGGTGAGAGCGAGGGAGACCCAGACCCTGGGATTTTAGGAGAGAGGGCGAGGCTGGCAGGGCCTCCCAGGGAGCGGGCCCAGGTGAGACCGCCCAGGAGAGACGAGAAGAAACTCCAGCAGCTACAGGACGGGGGGCTGCTTTCCCTCAGACTAAGACACTGAACTAATGCTATTAATTTAGTTTCCTTACTAAATTCTAAGATGTAAAAATAGCAAAGTAAATGTGATTTTAAGACACTGGATTGTTGTGCCATTTGCTGGCACTGAGTCCAAGTCCTCAGCAGCAGGTTCAATGTCTCAGGTGTCGGAAATAGGTTCTGTCGCTACATGAGTGGCACTGCCCACATCTGACCAGCTGAACAAATGAGAACTGCTCACTAGGGATCAGAGAGGACGGAGAGGAAGCCGGGGTCCGCCTCTGAGGGCCACAGGGTGAGCGACCAGCCCCCAGGGAGCGCCCGGGGCCCTCGGGCTCGGGAGGCACCGTCCGCACCTGTACGCGATCCGCTCCCTCTGCAGGTCCTCCAGGCCGCAGCACAGCTCTGCTGCGTAGAAAACCGCTCTCTGCTCATTGAAGCCGGGGCTGCCCAGGTTGTAGATGTGGAACTTCAAGTCCCCTCCGTTCATGATGGTGAGCACCAAGCACAGGGCGTCTTTGGTTTCGTACGTGTAGCACAAGCTCACCTGGAGACGGCAGCATCGCAAACATAAGACACCTGCTCACCCCGGCCCTCCCCACGGGCTAACAGCATTCGGTGAGGCCTGCGTTGCATAGGCACCCACTCTGCTTCAGGGGCTGCGCCCGCGCAGGGGCTCCGGGACCTTTTCTTGCTGAGGACCCTGCGCCAGTTCTCAACTGAAGGGAGAGAACTCGCCACGCCCACGTGGGTGGGTGGGTGGCACCACTTCACAGAGACACTGGATCATCATCCCAGGCCACCCTCACCCTCAGCCCGCCCCCAGCAGTGCACGGAGGTCTCGCTGCTGCACATCCTTCCAACACTGCTGTCAGCCAGCACAGGTGGTGTTAACCTGCGTGGCTCTGACTGTGCACACACGGGGGCTACTTCTCATGCTTTTTCGTAGACTTAGGAAACCTATTTTGCCTGGTTTTCTATTGGTCTGTACGTCAATTCACACACACACACACACACACACACACACACACACACACACCTGCTAGGGCTATGACTGGACTGCACTTCATTTAATCTCTGCATCAATTTGGGGGGAACTGACATCTTCACAGCACTGGTCTTCCGACCCATGAGCCCCCCTCGTTAGCACTTGTCATTTTCTTTTCTTTTCTAAGTATTCTCTCAACACCATGTTGAAACTTTTTAAATTGATTTTTTAGCAAGAGAAAGAGAACACCGGTTTGCCGTTCCACTTGTTTATGCACTTGCTGCCGCTTGCTGTACGTGCCCTGATTGGGGATCGAACTACACCCTGACGTACTGGGAAAATGCGCCAACCAAGCTGCCAGCCAGGGCTCCTGGAACTTCTCGTACTCGCATTTTATAGGTCTCAGTGGAGAAGTCTTGCACATTTTCAATTTTTGCCTAGCTCGCGATGTTCCTTGATGCCATCATAGATGGTGTCAATTTAAAATTTTTCATTTTCTAATTGTAGCTAGTGGCACATTTAATAAATTGACTAACTTCCCAATCAGTGACTCAGAAAGTCTTGAACTGTCTACCGCACAATCGCGCTGTGGCTGGGGGCGGGGAGGAGAAGACGGGCGTGCCGTGGCCAGGCAGGACCCGCACCGAGGTATGCAGGGAGCACAGATTCCAGGGGAAGGAAGAATATTTCTAGGTTCCTTGGAAGCAGCCAAAAAGGCAGAAACAAAAACATTTCATTTAAATAGAATAAACCACAACTACTTCTTATGTCCCTTTCATTACGTTAGAGTGTGGATTTTTGTTTCAAGGTAGTTACCCGAGTATGTGTAAAGCAGCTCCAAAATGAGCCCATTTTTAAAAAAATATATTTTATTGATTTTTTACAGAGAGGAAGGGAGAGGGATAGAGAGTTAGAAACATCGATGAGAGAGAAACATCGATCAGCTGCCTCCTGCACATTCCCTACTGGGGATGTGCCCGCAACCAAGGTACATGCCCTTGACCGGAATCGAACCCAGGACACTTCAGTCCGCAGGCTGACGCTCTATCCACTGAGCCAAACCGGTCAGGGCCAAAATGAGCCCATTTTATTAAAGATTTTCAGGTGACATGCGTCAGACTGTCATGGCAGACACATAAAGTCTTGCTATTAAATTTACACGATGGCCACCCACTGCTGGGAACGCTGCCCCAGCACAAAGCAGCTGACCTCACACTGAGAAATCAATGACTTGGAGGAAGTGACTCTAACATTACAAATCATTTTACAAACTACCTGTCACTCCCTTCCTTCAACCAGACCTTCACACTGCAGTAGATGCTGCAGGAAATACGCGATCAGGTGACGAGAAACCAGGTTGGAGATGAAACCACACCACTCACTGCTCAGCCCGGGCCTGGAGCGGGTCCTGAGCTCACCGACCCCAGGGAAGGTGACGGAGAGGCACCATACAAGGGGGTGCTCATTGAGGGCCACGCAGTAAAGGTGAGGGTAGCAGAGAAAGGGAGAGACGGGATGGCCTGAGGCCCACAGAGGAGGCCCTAGAGCAGGTCTCCAGCCGGAAGCTGGCTGCCGGGGGAATGGGGTCGGGGGGGCCTGGCCGGCGCAAGCTTGCAGTGGAAGTCACTGCCAGACCAGGCCTGGTGGAAGCAGCGGATCTGTTACAAACCCAAGTTCCAAGCAGGCTCTCCACTGTCGTATGTTTGTGTCCGGTTAGGAATTGAGTAAGAAAAGAGAGGGCTGTTACTAAAGCAAAGCTGTTCCCGACACCTATGCCTGTTAACAGCACAAGATGGCAACCGCACACGCACTAAACCAAGAAATTCCCACGGCTGGAAGGAGGGGGCTTAGAGGCAGGTCGTTAAGGAAAATGCTGGTTCCCACGGGTCCTCAGTGAGGGCGAGCGGAGGGACTCCCTGCAGATCCACCGGGCTCTCTCTGAGGGTCCACGGGAGGCGAGAGGAGGTACTTACTACAAATCTACTTTGCACTTTTTCTAGGAGTCTTTTCTCATTTAGGGCCATAGCTTCGCCGTTCCTCCTTTTTATTCTTTTCTTTAGCATCTTTTTACAGGCATACATTTTCCCTGTAGCTCTCACTTGACAGGCATAGACCTAGTTTTAAAGAGAAAAGAAGAGGTTGACACGGAGCTGGGATTCCCCAGGCTACAGGGAAAACTGTCTTCTGTGATAAGCCTCTGTCAGAGCAGCAGCAGAACTGGCCGAGCCAAGACCACTGCCATGGTCACTGTTGAGAGTTTCTGAGCTGGCCCCTTCCTCCCCTCGGATTCCTTGTCTACGGCAGGGCGCTGGGGCAATCACGTGAAATACATGCTCTAAAACCCAGGACAGTAGGCAGACGGGACTTGTTCATATGTGATCGTGGTGCAACTCTTTAACATGTCTCCCTCCTTTTCTGTACAAAAGCAAAAGTTTTAGAAACTGGATTCTTGATTTTTTAGAAAGTTCAAGAATATTAGAAAATATATTTTACAGAAGTCATAGACTTTCATACATTTATTATACTTAGTTTTAAAGTCATACTTACATATTATTTAATTTTATATTATGAACATTTTCAAACATATAAAAGTGGAGAGAACAGTATAGTAAGCCCCCAGGTACCAGTCCCCAGGCTCTGGACTATGAGTCTATGGCTGACTCC